ATCTCGGTGCCAATGATACTGGGATAGAAGACTGGGCCAGGAGGTCGCTGTGTTGGGATTCCAGATGCCCACATCAGTTTCCTCCCTGCCTCTCCCAGCCTTACTATAGTCTCCTCACAGCCCTTCTCCATTCCGTCTGCAGCTAGTGGCAATGGCAAAGCCTCCTGGTTTAGGTTTTAATGATGGCAACATTCTACCCCCCCAAGCCAGTTTCTTGTTTTACTCTGCATTGCAGAGTAACAAAGCGCCTCCAAATCTCCGTGCTTCAGGTAACAAGGGGACCAGGCTGGCCCCAAACTCACAGAGATCTTCCTGCCTCTGCCCCCCAAGTGCTGGGATTAAAGACATGCACCCCCACTGGCAGCTTCCTCAGATCTCCTGGACTTTGTTGGGCCATTGGTCTCGGCTTGACCTGCTGTTCTGCTAGTTCTGCTGTGTCAGGTTTGGATACAGCTGTGGGGTTTGGGGGCCTCTCTCTATCATGTGGCCTCTCACTCAGGATGCTAGCGGAGGCTTTTTACATGCAGCTACATTTGAAGAGCGTCAGAACAGAAAGTGTCAGAGCCCTTATGACCCGAGGTCGGGAACTTCCATGATGGCAGGCTCCGCTGTCCAAAGGAAAAGCCACGAGATAAACTCACCTCAAGCAACCGCTAGCAGGAAGAGCATCGAATCCACTTTTAAAGAAGCTCGGAGGATGGCCACTGAGAGCCTTATTTAATAAGCTCTTGATAAACGGCATGCCAGTTTAAGACACCTGCTGGTCAGCCAGGCAGAGGTGACAGATAGGTGCTCAGTTGTGAGGGAGAGTGACTTCCCTGTGTCAGGACCATTCACGTTGGAGGGCAGTGCGGACTGCGGCCCTGTGCCACTATCTTGAAGTATGAAAAGCAAGAATAAGATTGAGTTGTAGGCGAGTATAATAATTCTGAAAGAAAGGAGTGGTTTCTGAGTTCCTCCATGCCAATAGGGAAGATGTGGAATGAGGCGGGACCAGGGGTTACCACTGAGGCCGTGCTGCAGAACTGGGTTCCAGGGGTCTTTCCTGAGTCACTCTTCTTCATAAAGTTTTCCCAGCCTTTGTGCTGGGGGCTAGGTGAGGCTGGGGATCTGGGATTCTTTAGCTCAGGCATGGGCGGATGTGCCATTCTCCTGCCTCAGCCTGCACCACCGTGCCTGGCTGGGAATCTAAATTCTCCAACCTCCCCAACCCTACTGTTCCCTTCACCCTGGTTAATTCTCTGAGATCCCGGTTTTTAACCAAGTCCTACTACTTTTTGCATTGTTCTCATCCCTGCTTCAACCAGAGAAGAACGGTGTGGCTGGCCCGGGCCATAGGCCTGCCTTCCCGACCCCATCCCTGTGTCCCGAGTGGGACTGGACTGCACTAATTGACCTGGAGGGTCTCAGCTGTGCTAAGCTGGGTGTTTGTTAGATCTCGTTAGGCTTGTAATTAGTGCAGGGAATCTAGGTCAGAGGCAACTAGTTGGAGTGATGGTCTCCTGGGGCATGAATGAAGGTGGGAAAGAGCAAACACATTCTTTGTTTTCTGTGGGTGAACCAGGGACAGGGTGAAGCGGGGCTCATGGTATACATGGAGTGACACAGGGTCACGTGCGGCAAAGCACTCAACTCTAACTCTCTCTCTCTCTCTCTCTCTCTGTGTGTGTGTGTGTGTGTGTGTGTGTGTGTGTTTTCGCTCCCGCTTTTACTCGCGTTTCCTTCCAACCTCTCCATATATGGTGTGGCTCTAGAGCAGGCTGGGGATTGGCTGCTGTTGTTGGGAGACTGGGAGGTAGGAGAAGAGCAGAAAAAGAAACCCAGTGTTGGGCGGGAGCGGAGAGCGTGCTAGCCAGGCTTCAAGGGTTGCAGGAGGGCCGGCTGCCTGGGAGGTTTAGAAAGTCTTTGGGGTGGGTTTCTAGGGAGGAGAGGGGCACAGTTCCTGTTGGTGGGGGCTTAAGGGAGTGGGTGGGGCTGGGACATGGGCTGTTGCCCTGGAATCATCACTAGGCTTAGTACCAGTTTGTGGGGGCCCGAGTGGGGAGGGGTCAGAGAAACTTGTGCTCTCCCCTCCCCCCCTTTTCACCCTAGACAGCTCACAGCTACGCTGTGGAAGTCATATGCAAATTAACTCATTAGCTTTCCAGGCCAGTACCTCAGACAGCTTCCCAATGGAGGAGGCTAGTGACTACTTTCATCAGCTCCCTCAAACCCTCTTGAACAACTTATGGGGAGAAAAGGGCAAAGCTGAGGGGAATGTCATTGAAATACGGATTAAGCATCTAGTGCTCAAATTTACCAGTCCCTGCTCACGAATGACCCCGGTTCGCCGTGCCCTGGATTTGGCTCCCCGCCCTGCAGCCTCCCAGAGGAGTTTCTGTCTGCAGGTCATTTGGGTAAGAAGATAGAGCCAGGCTGTTGGGAGGGAGGGCGAATGTAAACATCCTCCAAGTGTTTGTCGGTAGCCTCGCAGGGGAAAGCCACCCCAACGCAGCCACACGGCTTCTTCCCGCTTCCCCACACATGGAGGTGGAGGAATGAAGAGAGACGGTGCAGGAGAAGAGAGTAGAATGGCAGAGGAAGAGGGGCCGGGGAAACTAGAACAGCTTGCCGTGGTGTGAACGTGCCGTGGTGGCTAGGTTCAAAACATTTTCCCGTGATGAGAAGTCTTGCCGGCAGCCGCCCACCGCAAGTGTGGGATCTAGGTTGCGTTTCTAGTGTGAAGCGCGGCTTTGCGTGAAGCTCTGAAATGGTTGCGGGCCAGGAATCACGCTCTTCCCCCTTTGCAGCTGTCTTCAGCACAGCGCGGTACCTCGAGTGCCCTCCTCCGAGGACGTGCACGCGGCTGTGGCTCGCTCAAGGATGTGAAGCAGAGTGACAGCGATTGGCCCTCAGGCCTGTGCCCCATTCAACCAGTGCCCTGGCCACCTGCATTTGCTGTTCATGACTCACTGAGCCAAACTAGTCACGGCAGCCTTTGAAGCCACTGGCGAGCATAGACTGGCTGTGCCTTACCACCACCAACTCCGTAGTTTGCAGAGGAGAAAACTGACTCTCCTCAAGGCTGTTTCGCCCAGGGTCTCTTAACCGAAAAAGTGACAGTCGGAATTTGAATCCAGACCCCTGTGGTTTCAAAGCCAGGCTCATCGCTGTGCCCCTGGTGGAGGCTGCCTGCTGGCACACGGCTGGGAGCTGCAGCTGCTGGTTTGACGTCCAGCACCAGCTCTTCTTGGTCTCCAGGGAGAGCAGCCCCAAGCTTTTCTACGGGGGCGCCTCCTGCTCCTCCAGTGCCTGCTGCATGTCTGTGTGTGTGTGTGTGTGTGTCCCTCCCCTGGGTTCCACAGATGACTGGCATGTTGGGACACATATGTCATTCTTGTTTTGTCTTTCTCTTCATTATGTGGGGGCGACAAGGAAGAAAGGATGAAAATGCTGATAAAATGAAAAGACAGGAAGATATGAAGTGTCTAATTTTAACCCAACTTTCAGTATCTGTGGCAATGGGTGGCGCTGAAGACCAGGGCTGGAGTTGTGGAGGGAAAAGTGTCTGAGGGGGACAGGAAACCTGGTTCCTCAACTCTGTCCCCCAGGAGAGCCTGGGGACACGAGTGAGGTGGTGCTTTGGCTCAACTGTGGCTAGCCACAGGCTAGATCTGAGGAAAATGCTGATGACCATGACAAGCAGGGAACTGTGAGAACAAGAGTCCCTCCCCCAGCAGGCTGGGGAGAGGCTAGGGGTAAGAGCATTGGCTGAGGTTATGTGTGCCTGCAAACCCAGAATCCCTCTGTCCTCAAGATGGCTTAACATGAGGGACTACCCCAACACATTTACAAACTCCCCCATCGCTGTCGCTCATGCCTAGAATCTAGTACTCTGGAGGCTGAGGCAGGTTGGAGGGGTTTCCCCAAGACCTTATTCCCTCCCCAGCCCACTGTGTTAACCGAGCAGCCAGGGCCCCGCAGCCTGTCCTCCATCTTATTTCTCTCTCCACCAGGGAGGCTCTGAGACCTGGCTGCAAGGGGTGAGCCCTCAGGAGGGTCAAGGACAAGGGATGCTCCACTTTTTTTTAACCCTTTGTTTGCCTGACTCAAGAGGCTCGATGACCCTTTATCGCTGGAATCTTTCCGATCTTGTCTTCCTTACCATTATCACTAAGAAACTTAATCTCAGAAAATAAGCTCGGCTGCCAGGCAGGTGGGGGTGTGGGGAGAGCTGCTCTGAAGCTGTGCCCTGTCGTGTCGGGAGGGGGAAGAGAGGGGGGCAGGGTAGAGGAAACCCTTGCCTGGCAGAAAGAGGAAGCTGAGTGCAGGTCTGGTTTCCCCTCCTTCCCATACAGACGGAGCCAGTTTCAATCTTGGCTCAGCTCTTGCACACGGCAAGCTGCTCCCCAGTTCCTGGGTTACTCTACCCCAGTTAGAGGCCCAGGCTGGTCCCACCTATTTGTTTGTATCTTCAGATCCTTGGTGGGAGCTAATGGGAGCCCCCAAAGGAGAAACCTGGGGCAGCCCGGCCTTGCTGGAGATGGCAAAGGCCTCTGCAACCACCATGTCCCTGGGCTATAGCCTCAGCCTTAGGTACTGTGGTCTTAGAGGCCCCCCCCCAACGGCATCACACCATAGTGGCAAGCCAGCTTTGGGCGGGGAGACCTCAGTTCCACAGATCCTCCTCAGGCTGGGGTGAATTTCACTTCTCTTATGGCATGGATAGGAGGCACTGGCCCCCGAGTCCCTAGAACTCAAGTTGCACAGCTGAAATTTCACCCTCAGAATGAGAGCCTGGGATGGGACATCCGAGGAAACCTCGTCTCCAGTCCGTTCTAACCCAGACACACGTGTGCGGCCGCGTCTGCTCCCTACTGGGCCCGGAGCAGCTGGCTCGTGCACAGCAAGCAGGCCGCATGCATTTCTCTTTGTACTCGTAAGAGCTCTTGGGCCTCAGGGCTCACCTTCTCCCACCTGACACGGGAAGTCTGTAGAACAAGGCCATAGAGGATCAGGTGTCAGCAAAAGCAATGAATTTCATTTTTTTTTTTTTTTCGGGATTGAGGTAAATAAAAAAAGCTTTATCCTGCAACATTTAAAGATAAAGAGTCTGTGGCCCCCAAATTCCAGACCCGCCCCCTCCTTCACATCAGGCTCTTCCGGTATTGACTGTGCTGGGAGCTCTGCCTGAGGCGGGAGTCGGGGGTCTGTAGGTCCATCTGCCTGTACAGGTCCCTCAGCTCCCTGACTTCCTGCAGTACCCTCTTTGCCTGGCTCCAGTTGGAGGAAGCCTCTCCCAGCAGCCTCTCTGTCTCCAGCAGCAGCTGCTCCGACTCAGAGTCGGGTGGAGACTGTGGCGGGTCCTTGGCCTTCCGCTTGCCTTCTCCCAGTCCCTGAACCTCGGCCAGCAGCTCCTGAGTCTTCTCCAGTTTCCTTGCTACCAGGTCCTGGATCCGGGCCAGCTGACCCGGCTGGGCGGGGGCGGGGGCTTCCTCCGCCCGAAGGTGGAGGGGTCGGGCTGGATCCGTGTCCCTCTGTGACAGGATCTCCTCCAGGGAGGCACAGCGGCACTTCTCGGTAGAGGGCAATTTCTTGGGTGCTTGCGGGGTGTAGGTGGCGCCCTTGTCCGGCTTCTCCCACGGCCGGGAGAGGCTGCCTGCCCGGTGTGAGGAGGGCTGGATGCGGTCTGAGTCCGCTCTCCTGCGACCACCAGCCAGCTGGGCCACAGACTTGTCCAGATCGACCCGGAAGCTCTCGGCACAGGAGGCTGGCTGCTCTGGGGAAGGGTCCTCCTCTTGGATCAGGTCTAGTGTCAGCATCCCATCTGAGGTAGAGGTCGACGCCTTGGGGAGAGCAGGAGGCGGGGGTGAACTCGAGTGCAAGCATGGCTCCTTTCCTCACCTTGCCTTCCCTGAGGGAGACCCCTCCTCTCCCAGCTGGACCCCTCCACACGCTGCTTCCGGTTCCTCTGAGGATGCTTTGACCTTGCTTTTGCTTTTCTGTCACTTAGCCTCTCCTGCATGCTCTCTGTTTCTGGCTTTGCTGCAAGCTTCCTAGGTAGTGTCTACTCCGGTACTGTGGACTCTTACACACCACATGGGATGACCCACATGTCACAGGAAGACACAGACAGACAGAAGATGGTGCTCCTCTACCCACGTCCTCTCGCCACATGCCTGGCCTGCTCTGGTATCTGGCCTCTTATATAAAACTTGTTCTCTTATTTCTAAAGTAATTTAACAGAAGTGGTAAAGGGAACCGGGCACTTCCTCTGCTTTGCGAGTTCTGACCCTCTCACAGAAACGCTTTCCTGTAGGAGTTGGCACCGCCCCACTTTACAGGCAGCCGCCGCGATCTCGGGTCCCCTGGCAGGGAGGCTGACTGCAGGGCCTGTGCTCTTCCTCCTGCGTGGACGGCCCTCCCTCGACTGGGAGCAAGAACACATGGGCGTGGGCAGCCCCTACGTCCCCCATCTCTCTGTTTTCACTTCCCTGGGGACCCTCCGCACGTCCTCAGGGGTTACTGAGAATGAGCTGTCTGACTGGCGGGACGTGCTGAGTCGCTCATTTTGACTTAGCGCAACCAGGCAGGGGTGTAGGGTGGACAGGCCCCTTTAGCCTTTGATCCTAGGTATGGGTGGATCCCACCAATGCCCCTGCCTGTGCAGAGCAGAGAAGAGCTGGCTCCTGGGAGACGTTTACTTTTTTGTAGTTGTACATACCACAGCCATGAGGTGTCCCCGAGTTGGAGGGCGGCGGGAGTGTTGGATTTTTGCTCTGTCTCGAGTAGGGTGGGCAAGGTAGCTGTCCTCCTCGACTGTGACCTGAGGAGATACCCTGTGAGCCACAGGCTTTCTATAGGACTCTGTCCCAACTGCACAAAGCCTAACAGGGCTGGGCTGGGAAACAGGCCACCCCACCAACTTTCTGAGCAGGGCCACAGGCAGAAGGAGGATTATGGACACAGCTGACCCATGGCTGGCTCAAGCATCATGAAGTTGGGGGCGGGGCACGAATCAGCAGAGAAAAGCCTTGAGAGAGAAGGTGGGGTGTGTGGGGGAGACAGACAAGAGTGCCTTCAAAGCCGAGACAGCAGAGCTGGGGGAACTAAAGGGGCCCCATAAAACAACCTCCCTCCTCTAGTGAGTCAGCTTGCTTTCCACCCCAGCATGCTCTTCCCTGAGACAGGCCCCTGACCTCATCCAAGATCCGGTTCTTAGCTCTGGTGATGGCTGAGCTCAGGGCGTTGATCCACGACTCCTTTTCCTCAGGACTCACCGCCAGGAAGATCAGGTTGGGTGCCTGTGAGAAGGGCATCCTTGTTTTAGCATCCCCCCAACTCCTCCCCAAAAAAGAAAGAAGAGGAAATTGTAGTCTCATTCCCTCACATCCAGCTCCTGAAGGAGATTCTGCTTCTGGGATCATCAGTGACTGAAAGAAGCCCAGACCTGTTCCTGCAAAACTGAAAGTTGTTTTAGAAAAGATGGAGGAAGAGCTAGGAGTGACATTGGGTTTGAAGATGATACTAGAGACAATTAGGGGAGGTGTAACAAAGCTTAGGCACTAAAGATCTTTAAATGTCTGGCGTCACAGAATGTGACAAGTGTGGCTTCCCTGCGTTCCCTTGAACTTCAACCACCCATCAGGAAACAAGGACCAATAACTTTTCTTCAGGAGAATATATGTGTATGCGCAGTAGGTGTGTGTGTGTGTGTGTGTGTGTGTGTGTGTGTGTGTGTGTGTGTAAAGGTGGGGAAAGGAGGAGTTGGGAGAGAGAGAGAGAGAAAGAGAGAGATCAAGAGAAAGAGAGAGAAAGATCAAGAGAGAAAGAGAGAGAGAGAGAGAGAGATCTTTATGGCTGAATGGGTTAAAGTCTGGCCTGCCTGGAGGAAAGGGAATGGACAGAATATTCTCTGATTAAATAGTAAAAGCCAGAGGGAGAACAATCCTGGGCTTTGCAGCCAAGACTGAAGGGAGCAAGAGCCTTCAAGGATGGTTCCCCGCGCAGCTCGCCAGTGGCCGAGGCGGGTGAGCAGCAGACCTACCGTGGTGCCTGGCTGCTTGCGTCGGGCCAGGGTGAATTTGCTGTGGTTTTTTTTGCTCCTGCTCTTGGATTTCCGGAGCTCTTCACACTTCTCATAGTCACTCAGGTCAAACACCTCTTGACTATTTTTCTCATCTTTTACCTAGGGGAGGTTGGGGTGTGACAAGGATAAAATTATTCTGCCTCTCCTCCTGAGGAAAGGGAAGGATGACAGAGTGGGAAGCCATCCCACCCAAAGGGGGTATCCAGGGACGGAGCTGGAACCTGGTTCTTGTGTGGGGTTCTGTTTGGCTCCCTCCCCACAAACTACCATGTTAGTGTTTCCCTCTGCCCATGACCCTCACTCTGTCTCTGAAGGACATAGCCTGCAAGTCCATAAAGGGACATGGTGAATAGGCTGCTCTGATCATTCCAAGTAAGTGGCCACTAGCGGTCCACAGAAGGTGAAAAAGGCAGCCAACATCTGGAAGGGACAAAGGGCTGCCTCTGGCCTCTCTTCTAACACAGGACGTTACAGGAGTTTTTTTTCCTGTTGAGCAGGCTGTCCCCCCTCTTCTACTTGGTTGGGAACGTGCCAGGAATGAGTCGGTCACGTTTCCTGGGAAAAAGTTGAAACGAAGCGAATGTGTATAAGAAGCCCCGAGTTTCCCCTGGCAGACGTTCACAGGCCTGGAGTCATCTGCTGCTTTTGCTTCTCATATCACATGTGCTGAGGGGAGCCAGCATTCATCTACTTCCATTTGTCTGACAAGGTTCGGCTCTCCTGGGCTTTCCCCTTTCTAGGGCTCCCTGACTTCTGGCTGGAAAGTGACCAGAGGCCTTAAACATTATGGCGGACACGGGACAAGGTGTCAAGGGGAAACACTCCAGAACAGTTCACAGGATCACAGGGCTGGGGTGTGGGATGATGCATCAACCTCTCTGGCCCTTCTCCAGAGAGACTATCAGCAGAGGCCAGAGAGCTTGGAGAGGAAAAGCTGGGAGTGTGCAGCCGGGGAAAGGGCTCAGTTGTTTTCCCAGGGGAGAGGAAGGGAAGGGAGCTCTCTTGGCTTGGACACGGCTGATAAGGCGTTCTGGGAGTGGGAGGCGTTGACAGGGGTTAGGAAGGGCAGCAGCAGGGGACTCAGTGAGGCGGGCGGTAGGATAAGTAGTGCCAGTGCCCAGAAAGGACAGACACCCTGGCACCTTGTTCTCTATTGTACTCTGCCTTTTCCTCGCATCGAATTCCCAAAGTCTCAATTGTGACTACATCTTCCAAATTAACCCTTCCTTCTCGTGGCCTACAGGCACGCTAGGCTTTCAACCTGACTTCCTCTGCATGGAGCCACCCGGACTGTGGATGTGTTCCTACACCTGGCCCTTGATCAGAAGAGTGCCCTTGGAGAGTTAGAAATTAGGAATGCCCCACTCCACGCACGGAAGGGCTTCTCCAGCGGGAGAAGTTGTGGGAGCTGAAAAGGGACATTTTCTTTTTTGCATCAGCATGCAAATTGCCAATATAATATGCCTCCTGATTTTCCTCCTCCAGTCCACTAGCTTGATGCTGCTTCTGTTTACAGGCAGAGCAAGCAGGGTCACTCAGCAGCTTCGCCCGAAGCCCAGGCCCACTGGACCGTGGAATTGGTTCTGAAGAAGGGACAGAGTGTGGCTGTAGCTCCCTCTTTTCCAATGCCCTTCCCGGCAGGGGGCATCTGGCCCCAGGTCTGGTCAGATGCTCCTGACTCAGAGGACAGCAGACACTCTAGGCTGAGGTCATTCTATCCTCTCTCTGCTCTGTCCCTCCCTTCACACAGGTTTATTAACAAACTGATCATGCATCTTCACCCCCAGGTTCTGCCTTTTGGACAAATATAAGAAAACCAAAAGGCCTTGCTTTGTTTCTTTGGCCTTTCACTGTGCTCTGGCTCCGCTGACATGGAGGAAGCCCTTTCTGATTGCTAACGGCATTTCCTGGCATTATGAAGTTCAGGGAAGTCAGGGGACACACGGTGACACTTGCTGCTGCTTTTTAAAATAAACAAAAGTAGAAAGCAAGAAAATTATGGGACTAGGCAATAGTGACCCTCAAAAGTAAACTCTTCGCCAAGTCTCCCCTCAGCTGGCTGCCAACACTTTCCAGCCACTACGCTTGGGCCCCTTCCGGAAGGATGGAGGGGCCTCCGAGCTGGCCACTCTCCTGCTTGTCTCGGTAGACAGTTTTCAGATGGCTGCTTCAGGGTGTCTGCTTCCACACCATAAAAGGACTGATTTGCCCAAACCCAGCGGCAGAAGGCAAGCGTCTAGTGCGGAGAGCAGAACAGGTTAGAGCTGGGGGAGGACACACAGGCCAGGGGGGAGGGCCAGCCCAAAAGGGACACAAGAGTCCAGCACGCTCTGCAGACAGTCCCAGGGAAGCAAGTTCATTCGCAGCATTCCCGTTACTGATTCAGGAGTCAGGGCTCTGGACAGGGACGGGGTCTGGACTCCAGGACCCGGCTCCGGATTCGGACCGATGTGGGCTGCGGTTTCACGCTCAGCTCCAGAGCCAAAGCCGCGCGCGCACACACAGGCGTCCACAGTCCTAATTCCCTTCCCCTCTCTACAAATAAAGGTGGGCAGAGTATGACTTTCTTCATTTTTTTTTTTTTTCTTAAGTGGAGCGGAAGGTGAGGAACAGGCCTGGTGCCGGACGCTGGCTCCTACAGAAATCTGGCATCTCTCAGCATGTCCCAGACTCACTCCAGGTTGTGTTCTCTATGATTTAGGGTGACCGTGCTCCTCGGTCCTATGCCCCTGCTACAGACGGGAAGGGAAGAGGTGGTGGGCTGGGGTGGGGAAGGCAGGAAGAGGGGCGAGGGACAAGACGGCCAGTGTGTTTCAACGGCAAATTAAAAAAAAAAAAAAAAATCCCGAATTTCAGCGGCCAGGACAGGGAAAGAGGTGGCGGCCGCCAGAACTTCTGTGCAAAGGCACCTTAAATAAGTCAACTCCTGATTCCCACCCGGGCTCTCCCACGCGGGGTGACTTTCCTCCGCAGGCTCGGGACTTTGGCGACCCCCGAACTTGCGGAGCGGGAGGCGGGGCAGGCCGGAGAAGTGGCGGCCGCGGGGCCGGGCGCGGAGGGCCGGGCAGGGCGCCTACCTCCTTCTCGGAGACGTAGAGCTGGTCGCCTCTCAGCACCACATAGCGGTTTTTCCAAATCTCCCGGAAAATGCCCTTCCCGCAGAATTTCCGGACCCAGCCGACCTTCTCGGGCGCCGCGGGGTGCTGGCTTCCCTCCGGGGGCCCCTGGGCGGGGGGAGACGACGAGCGGCGGCTCGGGCGGGCCCCGCGCCCTCCCCGCGCCCTCCCCGCCCGGCCCGGCCCATTGTCCGCTCCTAGCGCCGCGCACTCACCCGCTTGCCGGAGCCGCTCTTCCTCATGGCGGGGTGGGCGGCCGCTCCGCCGCTCGGCCGGCCGCTCGCGCTGGCTACCCGCGGCCCGGGCCCCCGC